CTAAATCGCGAATTTAACGTGGCACGATTATCTTCCACGTTCTTCCTCGAGGTCACCGTGCACGGTCCTCGCCATTAACGCGGCCGGTTGGATACGCGGCTTTGCGAGAGAAAAATATATACGTTCGTACCTTTAAGGTAAGGTTGAACTTGACCAACCACCGAGCGACTGGGCGAAATCGGCATGTGGCGTTATTTTTATCAAAACGATTTTCCTCGGGAAATCGGGTCGAAGAATCACGATTTTTCGAATTTCTAAAAATTCTAAATTCTAATTCGAAGCCTATGATACGTTGCATATAATTTATCCATAATTTTTAAAATTAGGAATGGGATACTCGAAGCTTCCAGAATCCATTACAACAATTTAAAAAATTGTGTTATTATTAAGAATCTCGGTTTGAACATTTTCAAAGATCGACGATCATTAAGATTTTCGTATTCTTAACGAAATCTCCTTACCTAAGAAAAGAAGAAAAAAAATATGCTTCTCGAGAGTTTCGATATCCCATATAAAGTTTCAATTTCGAGTTTCGTAGATATAAAAAATTTTAGAATTTTAATTGAAACGCATTCAAAAATAGACGTGTGTCCATCTATATCTATATATCTATAGTGATCTATAGTGCCAACCAGCAGATTGTTCAACGCATAAGGATTTTTTTTCCTTTCCTTAAAACGTGAAATGCGGAAGAGCATCGCCCAAGGCGGTTTCGATCCACACACATACGCGAGCGCACGCACACACACACACACACCACACATGTACACGAACAACGCTTGTTGAGCCTGCCTCCGGTCAAATCACCGGTCTCTGCCTCTTCTATCCCCCTATTTCGACCCTGTTCATTGTTGCATTCGTGCATGATTGGGCACGAGCTTCGCGAAATAACACATTTAAAAGGAAACCCGGACCACGCACCATTTCTGGAGCGGTAATTCTGTCCCGATAACGTTACACGTTGCACGGTAATACGTACTTACCTCGATCGACCAGGCATTAACATATCTGGTTACCTTTGCCTAGCGTGAAAATACTTCGTGGTATCCGTTGTTGGTTTTTCCATCTATTTCGAATTGGATGATTTTAAGTCCATAGTTTTAACACTTGATGTACCATGATTGATTATAAAAGTGATTTGTAAATAGATTCAAACTTATGCATTTTTCGATATCGTAACACAACGTTGTGATAAAATTTTTCGAGGATTTTTTTGTTACGAATTTTGGTGGAAATTCATTTTCTCATATTCTTCGTTGAAACATAGAAGAATAGGAAAAATTAAGAGAGAAAAAAAAACAATTGAATTTCAATTTTTTCAATTTATCGTATTATTCCTATTAAAAATTATAAAAAAAAAAGTGATTGATAACGAATATTGATTATACAAATTGAATCGTTCATGCTATATGTATTAAGAAATAGATAGAAATGAATCAACTTTCCCCTAAAAATCGTAAACATAAAGAAAAAAAAAAGAAAATGTATATAATCACAATTTGTGTAATTTTTATAATTTAATACAATAAAAATAATTAATAGCATCTAATATTCTAATAAATATTACAAATTTAAAATGAATAAATCAAATACTATGTTTTCTATGTCAAAAAATTCTAGAAAATCGCTTTATCATTTTAGTGTCATTCTCAACCTTACCGATTACCGAGTACAGAATAAGATTATAATATTCGTAGTGGTTAGAATTAGAACTAAATGAAATTATGAATACAGATAAATTATTATATTTATATTATCTATGACACTTTTATTCAATGAAAAAATTAAAAATCAATTGTTATTACGTTTGTAGAAAGCAAGTTAAATAAAAATAATTTATATACAAATATATTGTTTAAATCAACAATTATAACTTTTCTCCAAAACAATACTCCAAAAATATTCCAAAAATGGTAAATTTTAATAAATTAATAACAATAAATATTTTATATTAAAATATTTATTCAAAATTTATAAATAATTATATACGATGTTATATCGACACTGACGGATACCTATTGTTCTTATCCATTGAGCTATATTTATCTAATAGAAGAAAGCATAATTTCTATGACTGGCTTAGTGTTTAGATATATCGAAACTATACGTATTCTTATACAATTTCTTATACAAATCACATTTAAAATACATATTTTATATATAAATATTCTAAAATATGTATATTCTGTTCGTGAATATTTTAAAATACACATGTTTTATTCCGAAAGTTATGTCGGTAAGTTTTTTAGCTACAGTAGACAGTCAGTCAGCTAATGGATAAGTTATCTACAAGTGATAAATCATATTTTTTTATATGAATGCTTTATTTAATTACGCATGGAACAAACTAATTTATATTATTTAATATATAATTTATAATTGTATTAAGGATATGATTATAAATAATAATGATTTCATCTTGTAGAAATTATTGCAGATTGGAGATCTATCCACATCTCATCTATCCTTTTTTAACGAAAAAATCTACTTATTTTCAAATAAATTCTTTTTTTTGCGCGCATTTACACATTCAAATTTTTTATCATTATGCAAAACAAACTATTGCGAAAGCAAATCTATTATTTACAATAATTTATCTTCACTTTTATAAATAAAAAGATTAAAAACTTTATAATAATTATATCTTTTAAAAATAATTAAAATCTTATTATATTTGCATGAAATTTATTAAAATTTATTATGTCTTTTAATCGTATAGATAAATTATTATATTTTCGAAACTATCTTAATGATCAAATGATAATTTGCATAAATAAAAATTAAAACGGTAAAACATATATTTAAAATAAAAATTATATTAAATTAAAATAACAATAATTTAAATCTGATTTAAAATATAAATTTTATAATAACAAACTTTATAATACAAATCATTGCTAATACGTAAATACGTAATACATAATACGTAATACGTAAATACGTAATACGTAATTTGTAAAACGAAAAAAAGTTTAAAAGATTATTTAATTTTGATAATAATGCTTAATAAATGATTAAACAAATTCATACGAATTAAACAAGGCTTTATTATACTAGTAATAATATGTAAATTATAATAAAATACCTTATTAATAAAAATTTTCTCAAATATACTTCTAGCAATGTAACACATCCACTCGCTACGATTTTCAATAACAGACTGACGCCATGTAGAGAATTATTTCGATTGGCTCGACCTGCGCGGTTTATTATTGTTTTGAAACCGCGTGAAAATTGATGTATTGCGTTATATATATTCCAATAGTTATTTATATATGTTCGAATAGTTAATTTCTATAATATCGAAATCCTAGGAAGACATATTTATTAAAAATGTAATAAAAAAAGATTATTATTGTAAATATAATAAAAATAAATTATTAAAATTAATTTATCATGTACAATAAAAACAGTAATTTTTTGATTGGTTAGAATTACGCGGTTTTTTTTTTCTTTTAAAACCGTATAAAAATTGAAATATTGTATTTTATAATATTTTGTAATTTATTATTTAATTATTAATTTAATTATTGTGAAAATATATGTTATAATATCAAAATCCTAAAATCATTTATTGAAAATATAAAATATTTTAACATATTTTATTATTAAAATTATTAAAATTAATTTAACATATAAATTAATGAATTGGAAAAAGTTAAAACATATAAAAATGATTCGTAAAATTTGCATTATTTAAAAAAAGGCAAAACGAAATAAAATTTTAATATTCATATTATAATAAATAAATTTTTGAAATTTATTATATAAAACTAAACGAATTTTAAATATATTATTATAATATTTAAAAATATATTGTAAAAATAAAATAATAATTTTATTATTATAATAATAATTGATAAATAAAATATTAAAAATAAAATATTAAAAATTAAAAATTAAAAATATATTTTCAGTCATATATTTTATTTATAACTTTATATTAAAATTTAATCCAATATGCATATCAGAAACGTTATTTTTTTAAATGATCGGTATTGCGGAATATGAAACGCAAAGTTCTATAAAATGCTATCATAAATAAAATGAAGATTAAAGTAAAAATATAAATTTATTTATTATTTTCAATATCATTAGGAGAAGTATTATTTTAATGTATTTATTTTAATGTATATCGTTTTGTGTTAAATGCAATTTTTCTGTGTAAAAAGTCTAACCTAACAATGTAAATAGAAATCATTTCTTTTCAGAAATATGTAATTTTCATAATACTGAAAGAGTTTTCAACTGAGACTATTGTGGATTCATATTTAGTGAATTAAAAAATAAATAATAAAAATGCAACGAACAAATTTACCTATTGTATCAATGCAATTAGATTCTTCTATTGCGATAAAAATAAGTATGGGTGGATCAATGTTTCAAGAAAGGACATTAATGGGTCGTTCAGATGTGTGGCACAAAATTAAAATTTTAAAAGGAACTGAATATGATAAAGAAACAGTATTAAAAGCTATATTAAATGCTATTGAACCAGCAGAATTGATCCCTGTGAAATATCAAATCAATGGAGAAGATACTTTCTTTTTGGCTCGTAATTGTGCTCATGCTCTTGACAAACTATGTAAAACTAATTTAATAATCAAAAATCCAGAAGGAGATCCACTGATCTTAATTGTTACTTTAGGATTTGCATCCATTCATGATCTGAAAATTAATCTTCAACCTTTACTTCTGACTGCTTTGACCAAAAAATATGATCCTAATAAAAAAACTCTGGATCTGGAAGAATTTCATAAAGATCCTGACATGTCTAAAATTGCTTATTGTCCGTTATCCCAACAGAGAACTTTTAATCATGTTTTAAAATTAACAAAGACTGCAATTGCCACAGTAGAACACTTAAATCTTCAGAAAAATGAATTGTTCAATTTAACTCCTATAGAAACTTCTAGTTTGACTTCCATAAAATATTTGGATTTGAGACATAATAATTTAATTGCTATGGAAGCACTTACCCCTTTAAAAAATCTCTGCATACTGAAATTATGGCTAGATGGAAATCCTTTGTGTGAAAATTATTGTACTTCAAAGCAATATATAGATTCTGCAATGAAATACTGTCCTAATTTAATTCAATTGGATGGAGTTTATATTAAAACATATGGCTTACCATTGACATATATTAATTACTTTAAAAATGAATCCAGAGAAGAATTAGTTAGCAAATTTATTAACCATTTTTTCAATCTATATGATCAAAGTGATAGAACAATTTTAAGAGGATTATATTATAAAAATGCATTTTATTCTATGAGCTTTGGAATTCCATCATCTATGGCTCATAAAAAAAATTTAGTTCAATTTACAGCAAATAGAAATTTATTAAAAACTGCAGACCTAAATAAGAAACGACAACATCTTTATTATGGACAGGATAATATTTTAGGTGGTTTAAAAAGATTACCACGATCCTATCATGATAGAAAATCTTTTGTATGCGACTTGATATTCGACGATAACAAATGTTTAGTAATCTCGATTTGTGGATTATTTAAAACTATGAATAATTCGTCACAAGTTCTATGGTTTAATAGAACGTTCATTCTCCAAGCTGGCCCTGATCATGAATACAATATCATAAATGATCAATACTATGTAAATGCTACTACAGAAGAAATATCACCAAATAGTATAGAAACAAAAATTTCTTACGACGAAATCGTACCATCTTGCTTTAGCTCGAGTGAGAAAAAAGAATTATTGAATAAATTTACAGAAATAACTTCATTAAACAAAGATTGGTGTCAAACATATTTAGAAGAAGCTAAATGGAATATAAGAAAAGCGATTTCAAATTTTATGAAGGATTATAAATCTTCGGCTATTCCTGCTGAAGCATTTTCAAGATAGTATTGTTTTTTAGGTTAATAATGAAACTGTAAATATAGAAAATATATTAACTTATAGATTTTTTATTTTTTAAAATGAGATACTCAATTTAATGCTTTAAAAAAATATATATTTTCTCAATTCGTATTATTTTGTGTTATATGTTAATATTTATTAATAATTTAAATATAATTATCTCATAAATACACTCTATTGTTAACTTGAAACTTTGTTCAATAGATGGCACCATAATATGAATTCTGATATAAAATAAAATGTAAATGCATCTTATTTTATGAAATACGTTATTAAGAAAAATATAAAAATATAAAATTCATCTACAATAAACTATTTTGAATTTAATATATTTTTTTTTATTTCTATAAATATTAAAATAACCTATATAATTCACATTTTTTTATAATTTAAATAGCATTCATATAAAAACGGAATCTATCAGAATTTCTAATTCAACGCTATAATAAGAAATGATATGGCTTCGATAAAAAAACGTGATATCCTTGACAGAAAAGAATTTTTTCTCTCTCAAGTAATTCTATGTTAGAATACATTCAATACCATCATAGATCAATGAGCGTGTCGTGATGTTACTCGTCTGGCATTTAACAAAACCCGAGGATGTTCACTGACTTCATCAAAAGGTTATACATTCAAGGATTACATTGATTGTGGGAGACAAGTGAATGAATCAAAACATTTCTATTCCCTCTCTTTTTAAATATCGTTAATACTATAAATTGTTTATCTAATCCTTGGCTTAAATCATATTTTACATTCTTTGAATGCTAAATGATTCTTATGATAGAATATAATTGGATATTTTAATAAAAAATCTAAACATCATAAAATATTATTCTTGTAAAAATATTATTAATCTTATAATTAATTCTAGTAATCGATAAATTGTGAATTCCTATAAAAACGTATCCATGTCAACAGTAGCAAAAATGACAATCTATTGAATTAACATGAACGTCTACAAAGCAAATAAAACTGTGGATGAATGAAACTTTGTATGTGATTTATAAGTTAGAAACTCTTTCAAAGCAAGATTTACCACGCTTAAAAGGTTACATGAAAGATGTTACTCATGAATAAGATCATTTTATAATGTACTTTTTACTTAAACAATATTTCAACTACTTATTTTTATTGTACGTAAAAAATTTCTTCAAATTTAAAATGCAGAATATAAAAGTAATTTTGTTTCTCTTCTCTCAGATTTACTGGGAAAATTGGGCAAAAGCGAACCAGAGATAGCGAACGAGCTAAACGAACTATCAGGGCTAAATAATCGTCCTCACGTTTTCCTTGAGATTCTATCTCTCAGAAAGCGCTTCCCATTGCGCAACCAGGCTTCATTTCCTGGTTCCATCGCAAGAAGATGCTACGAAGGAAAAAAATTCGCCTGACAATAACGCATGTTACGCGATCGTACGTGTTAGTCGAGCAACTCGCTTTACTAACAATTACGAGACCTGACGGAGCATATGCTTAGCGGTATAATAAAATGATTATTGTGTGAGATCGTTGGCAACCTCCCACGAGTATTTTGTTTGGTAAAAAAAAAAAAAAAATAATAATCGACCCTCACGATTATTTCAGGTTATGTGCCCATCCAATTAAAATTTCCTTCGATCGGTTCGTCTTGGCTCTCGTATTGCTTTCCTGATTCGTCTTTCTCAAAGTTTCTCGATACGAAATCCAGATTAAGAATTGTTGGACTTTGCGTGACATTGATCGCCGATTTCGTAACATTAAACAATATACAGATCATAGATCAAATTCTGATAATTCATCAAAGATTCACGATTTTTATTTATTTTACACAGTATTGAGTGTAGACGAATCATTATTTTGAGAAATAAATTTTTTCTACTATCAAAATGGATTCATTGAAATTTCTATTTTTAGAATAATATTTTATATTTTTTAACTTAGATGATGTGAAATTTTCTCTAATGATATTCTTCTATCAAAACTATTTAATTTATATACTTGACGAATGATTCTTGAGATTTTTTTTTAAAGGAAAATCGAAGATAACATGTATGCCATTGTCTACGCATCATTCGACTTCTTCTATTGCATCGCGAAAGTAGTTTGATCTATTGAAGAAATAAGAGAAGAAAAAATCAGGCTGCGAAAGTGGTGGAATGACAATGCCTTTGAAGCAATTTGTTTCAACCGAAACGCCATGAGTTAAACGATACACGAAGATGCCTACCATCGATAACACGTCAGAGAAAGTCGAACTATATCGGTTCTATGGAAATTTTATGCACGAGAGAGAAGTGTAACGGTGTTAGGATAGAAAATAAAATGACAAGATTCAACCGAGCAAATAACGCATCCTTGTGCCAGATTCAAGTCTGTAACGACACATTTATAGCACGAGACCGATCCTACGATTTCGTAATTACGACACGGACCATGGTTTGCGTTTCGTTCCTGTCGAACACACTCGTTTCCTATCAAGGATCGACTTTCATGAAATTCAATTAAAAAAAAATGAAAGAGAAAAATTTATAGTAACAGATCTTTTGTGAGACAAAAGACTCGAAAGAGAACACAAGTAATTTCGTGAGATTTTCTGCGAATTAAAATACAACCAAGTTGCACCATTTCTCCAGTAATGAATGCATGCTTCCTACGCTTCTTCCAATTAGCCTTCTGATCCGTTCTTTCTAATGAAACTTGCCTCCAATCACGCAACATCCCGCGCTTTCATCAATTTCCCTCCACTGTTTATTTACATTCTAATGTTTTAATACTTTTTTCATCTACATCAAAATCTGTGAAATTTTCTTTTCTCTTTCTAAGAAATAGAAATAATTATTTTACATATTTGCATTCACCATTTTTTCTTCTTCTTCTTCACCATTTTTTCAAATAATCATTGGAAATCCACATAACATTTAATCCGATCATAATTAATCTATTTAATTAGATTTATAAATTTTTATTCCTTTTATGGATTTCAGAAAATTATTAATAGACTCATTGATTTATTTCATGTGTTTACATATATTATAGATGTGATATATAGATGAATTAAAGTAATGTTACAAAAATAATTATATATATTTAATTAAATATTCGTTTCAACAAGAATTAATCTGCACAATCAATTTGACCGATTTGGTAATCATTGAAACTTCTCTTTTATTATAAATCTTTCATTAAATTTGATCAATGATCTCTTGCAGGTAAATTTCTGTTTCTTCTAAATCAAGATAAAATCAAAAAAATAAAGAAGAAAGAAAGGGTCCATCCAGTTACATTTGAAGTAAGACAGGAAATTCTCGCAATAATTTTTTCCAAAGTCAAGACGAAGTTCATCAGCCAAGATCTTGCCTGGAAAGAATTCAGTCTGTCGTCTGGAAAGTCTCTCAGAAGTGGCCGCTTGTATAACTTCCACGTTCCAAGCCGCCCCAGAAGGCTTCGCGTTTATGCAACTTTACTCGAGGATTCGCGCACGCACGACACACTGTATCATCGTCGTGTGTGCTCCGGTGAAAGTTACGTCCACTGACAACGAAGCATCAGGCGACAATCCGTTGCCATTATCAAATCGGAAATTAACCGTTCGAGCATTGTTCACGGTTCCTCCAAATGGTACCGATCGTCTTGATTTTTAAACAGAATCAGATTGCATTTGTGAGAAATATCAATTGTTCTGTTTTTTTTAATGGAAATAATATCGGGAAGAATACGACCGGCTGCGTTCTCGATAAAAAGTGGAGCACTTCCCATTATTTTCTATTGGAAAATTACTCGAAGCTTACCAATAAGGTCTTTGTGCCATGGGAAAGATTTCTCTTGGAATCTCTTGATTGTATTATTATAGAAATGAAAATTGATCAATGTTCGAGTTTAAATTATCGAACGTCTGAATTAAATGTGATTCCATAGAAATAGATCTTATCTAATTTTCTTCTATTTAATTAGATTTATCGATGACCACTAAGAGTTAATCATCTATGAGTGTTAAAATTTAAAGACGATGTATACATGATGACTAGGTATGGATTACATAAGAGAATAGCGGCGAGTGGATAATTCTTGTTTTCGCACGGAGTTACACACTCTGTCACAATAACAAGAGGCCCGTAATTAAGATCTCGAGAGCGTTAATTGTACTTTGTACGAGATTTTCGATTTGTAAATCATATTCTCGCCATATCAATGAATTTATTTCGAAATAAATTCATATTTTTTTTTTTACACGTCTTCTTCCTACTACTAACGAAAGAAGACCTTGCCTGCAATATTAAGAAAATTAATCTTCTATCGATACACTAATCAGATCTTTAATTAACCAACCTTGTTTTCAACTCGAATCGTTTGTATTTATAGATAGTTCTTGCTCAATTAATCGACCGAATTATCGATTTATTAATATTACGAACATTAAATGTTCGTCAGGATTGAGCTTTAAAAGTTTTTCTTATTGCAAGCATTTTTATATATTTTTTTTCTACTGAAATAAATCTTTTAAATATATCGTAAATTTTTAAATTATAATAAATTCATAATTAATAACAAATAGAAAAAAAAAATACCTATTTGAAATAAGATATTCGTTATATTATTTCAAATGTATCTAGATCTGATATGATGTAAATGGTGCAACAGTTGACTCGACAGGATCTACATAAGAGGATAACGAGTCGCTCATAGCTCGGGGGGCACGGAGAGCATCGGTTTTTAGGATGATCACCGAAGAGACGGACGAATCGAGTTCGCTACATAGAGGATGCCTCCTCGAGCGCTCGCCTTTTGCTTTCACTTTCTCACGTGGCGAAGACTAGGAGAAATATCCCCTTCCCCCGTGACTTATAGAATCTTCGTGAATCCTCGAGCACGAGATCGTTGTTCTATCTTCGGTGTTCGCATATGCAATCGTTGCACGACTATATAATTAGCTCTCAGGTAAATATTTATTCCTTAAAAGTCTGGAATTAAAATTAAAAATCGATTTCGATCAGAATGTACACAAGGGAAATAATTATTAGAACGTGTAATTCTCTTTTTTTTTTTTTTTTTTTTTT